TCGTACAAGATTTGACATAAAAGATGAAAAGGTCTATCCAAATACTGGCTGAATGTCGAAAATATTCATAGCATTGAAAATCTAAATCGATTTGATTCCGATCGGTTATGTTCATCATTTGTTGGCATTCAATATACTTGACATATATTCACGTAAAACTGTTAAGACTGGAAATTATATTCCAGTTTAAATGTATAAATATTTTGACTTTAATCAGGCAGACCTGAATACTTCATATACTTTTATAAAACATCAATTATACATAGAATATAACTATTTGCAGAAATAATTATGACTCAAATCGCTAAATGTACATAGAAGATTGAATTAATAATCAAAATCTCTGTGATGAATTACATCAGTCTATGGTTACGTTCTTTAAGTCTTAAAATTGAGTCATAAGAAAGTCATTTTATAAGAACAGACAATTTTTATGGTGAGATAATCTTTCCTATATTCAGTGCTCGTTTTAGTTTTATGTATTTATTGAATGCATCATCTTTATCAATATTAATATGAATAACAATGACAAACGATTGAAAATAAAACGAGAATTATTACGGTCTCAATTTTTACATGAGTCCAGCATAAATCTTGCCAACATTCGTAAGTCCACTAAGATCATCTGTTATCATCGCGCCATTTGTAATACCAGCCATATTAGCAGAATTCATTGGTCCAAACATTGCATATCTCGCTACATAATTTTGTGCATCAAGCCATTGTAAAGCTTGCTTTTCAAGATAGGCTGTTGTTGTACTTGAAATACCAGTAAATTGCCATTCAGTAATCCACAAAGGATAAGTTGGAAAAAGTGAATGGAAGTTGGTAACGTACGTTTCAAAATCCGATAATGAAGTACCATACCAATGAAATGGAATAAAATCAAATGAACAAGAAGGAGATGTACAGTTACCAAAAAACTGACGAAGCCAATCAGTTCCCCATCCGGAACCGACTCCATTCGTAACAGCTGGTGCTCCCAAAGCTGTTCCACATGATGCTTTCACAGGTTGAATGTACTGTTTCCAAAGAATGGATGCATTATAAGGTGAAAGATAGTCGCCACCATTAGCTGATGGTAAATCTGGTTCATTAAATCCTAGAAGATAGTTGGCATAACAACTAGAAAAATATGCCGAAACTTGCGATGCTTCTGCCTGTGTTCTACACATTGGTACGTATTCAGCTGTTGAATAAGTGCCTGCTGATCGTGGGTCCCACAGTTCCCAATTATACAACCATGGTATAGCACTGGGTGAAAAGAATGCGAATGACGAGGCTGGATTATTCCATGGCCAACAGAGGCCACGTTTCGTACTGTTTGTAGCTGGCAAAGTTGGAATAGTAGTATAAACAACGGATAAAGCGTTGGCTCCTCCGCAAATCTGTGTTGAATCACCAGTACAAGCCATTGTACAGGCAGTTGATACAGTTGTAGGTGATGTTGTTGAGCAATAACATTCATTGGCATACTCAGTTCCAGAATATGGAATGCCTAGAGAGGTACAAAATGCTGCACATGTTGCAGGAGTGTTGGAAGTTGAAGTAGTTGAAGCATCAGACATTGCTCGCGAGCTGGGATAAAAATCAGCATAACAGCCAACCACTATTGAGCTTGATGTAGCAGAAGAAGCCGTACTGGATGTTGTTGTTGTTGTTGTTGTTGATGATGATGCGACAGTTTTAACGGACGAAGTCAGTTTAGTTGAAATCGTATTTATACCAGAGCTAGTGGATGATGACAAAGTGGTGGTTGTTCTTTTCAAGGAGGAAGTTGATTTTGAAGCAACAGTAGTAGAAGTTGACTTCACTGTGGTGATACGAACTGCTGCGCTCTCGACATAAGAGACACTGTTCATCATTCCTCCAATAATGACAAGAGAAACGAGAGTGAACCACAACATTGGTTGATCAATCTATTTAAAGTTAAAAAGTAAAATTCCATAAGTCAAAAAATGAAGCATACAGAAAAGTGCTGGGGGTATGGGAGGGTGATATGATGTCGATAGACATCGTCAATAAATTACGGCTAATTAAAATAACAAATAAAAGTGAGATTAGAGACTGAAGAATGGATTAAGGAAACTAACTAACTAAGAGAGATTAATCAATCGATTGTGCAAAAGAAAAGTCAGTCATTGTGATCTATTTCATATCTGTCTCAATCATGTATAATATGCAGTTCATATTGGCACTATGTATGTGTTACTTAATAGATTTGTTTTTTGTATTTTTTGGCATTATCCTAAAGAGTTACTTACCACAACGAAATGAACAAAACCCAATAGATGAAAAAAGTTTCGTGTCGAGTACCCGTTGATTAATCTTGTTGTTGTTATGTATGTAACAGTGTTTGCTTGTCTTTACCTTTGCAAAAATGAAACTTTATTCATTTCTTACCGTGCGTTATTTTGCATAATTTTCTTTCTTTCTTTTTTTTATTTTTTCTTAGTACATACTTGATCACGTATGACTCTACACAAGATAAGTACAAAAAGTTGCATACAATGAAACATGTGCACGAAACGGTATGCTTGAGTGGTTCGCACACAGAATAAAAACAAACATATTTATCATCGAAAAGAATTGAGAAGCAAAATGAAATAGAAAAAATTAATGACAGTTTCTTATTTTGAAATTTGTAGTATGTTATGTTCATGTATATAAAAAAAAAACTTCGAAAGGAAAATTCGATTGTCATTCTGATATGTAGTTGATATGAAGTTATTACAATTTTATACACTCATCTTCATATATTTCGAACTTTTTGTACGTAAAAGAATTTAGTTTAATGATATTAGGGCATCAAAACGATTGAATACTTGATAATGACAATGTTTAATATAGTATATACGACAAATACACACTTGCTTATAAATTAACACCTTAATATATTTAAGAAAATCTCTTTGTGTGAAATTCAGGGTTTTCGTCTAGTACAGGATGAAATGAAGGAAATGGACTGTTTTCATGGTTGATGCATCACTGACATCCACCAACTACATTTATCGACGATCGCTGATTAACTGACATGCTTTATGACACCAATGCTCAGTGAAATAGCCATAACCTGATATTGATTTCCGTTGACTACAACCTATTTCAGAATATTAATGACATCTACTGAATATTATACATAGATTCACAGAATATTTCTTTGGATAAGTGTATAACAACGTAGTGGGTTCTCAGGCATTTTCTCTTAAAACTGAGTCTATTTAGTGTCCCATTATGTTAACAACTGAATAGTTATTCTTTCGCTGCCTGCATAAACTAAACAGGTGTCAGTGATTATTGGCCGACGTGAGTGTGAACCGGTGTGTGTAGAGCGAAAGCGTGGAGATGAATATCTGTTGGATTTTGGTATAAGGAAGACACTTGTAACCATCCTTACACATATGCATATCCCAACCCTCATCTAGTCACACTTCAAAAACTCATGTCTCACACGCACACTCACCCAGCATATACAGATCGTTTATGAACGGCAATTTTTAGTTTTAGAGTTTATTGCATTCTGTACTTTAACACTCAAATTTTCAAAAGTAAAGTTGAAAATGATAAATTAAAACCAAGCATAAGGCTACCAGTCAAATAGATTTCTGGATTAAACATTTCAAAACATCTCTGCTGCAGAATGCCACAGTGATTAACATAAAGCTCGAAAGTTTATATTGTTGCAAGGAAGCGAATTAACGTTGCGATCTTTAATTGACTTAAGAAACGTTCATCCTCTTTATACGAGTCCAGTAGGGTCATTTATTTATGGTCACAATGGACTATTCTGCACATAGCTGAATCAAAACGAGAACCGGATCTTCAGATTTCCACTGCAGTCATAAATAAATATTTTAATACAGATTTAACATTTTTCTAGAAACGTTCTATTTAAAGAAAGAATTAGAAGAAATATATATTCTTCTTGCGTTCCGTTTGGGTAACTTCAGAAAGTCGATTGTCGCAGTATATATTTTTTATTATCACTAAGTTTCACTTTAAAATAAGAAGCTCGTGTACACGGTTCATTTTCATCGTCAATTTGTCGGATGCTGCGGATGTGAATGTTCTTACTCCACGTTCACAATCACATGCATACGAACGTTCTTACTCTACTCGTCGTCTTTAGTTTTTAGTAAAACCAACTTCTATTTATTTGTATAGTTATCTTTTTCTCGGAGTTACGTAGGTACGCTGTTCATCTTCTTTACTATATATCATCTTTTTAGGTAGCAACTCATTCGTCACTTTTACACGGTCGAGATAAGTCGCATCTTATTTTTGTCGGTGACGTACATTTCTTTGTTCAACTCATCTATCTTATTTTCGTCATTACTTAATTATTTCGCGTAATTTTCAAATTATTTTTGGAAATATTAATTAAAGTAATTATCTCCAGGTGTTTTTGCATTAGGTGATAACTTAATTATGCCTCAAAAAAAGGAGGAACAGGTGCAAACAAACAAAGGCACAGTAGTGTTAATTCTATTAACACACAACAAGGTCAAACAGCAGTAGCTGATGTTGGAGGAACAATGGCGATGAGTCATAGTCCAAGAACAAAGGCTTCTGTAGGAACAAAGGCAGGAGTAAAGGTCCAATCAAAGTTTATCATTGCCCCTCTAATTCTAGAGGGCGTGAAGTTAAACAAACTACAATTAAATGATGCTATTAAGCAGAATTTAAAAGACTTACGAATATCTGATATTCAGCTAAGTCGAACAGGTAATTTCACACTATATGCAAGCGATGTTAGTTCGTTTAATCGCCTATTAAATGAGCTGACACCAATTCTTGCAACAAATGGACAGGCTACAGCCAAAATATATGTGCCCCGATCCATTCAACGTATCAAAGATACGGAAAAAGTCGCGTTTGTTAAAAACATCGACATAGAAATTCCTGAAGGTCGAATAACTGAAGCATTAAAGGACGTTGGACTTGATGCTATTGATGTTGTTCGACTGGTGAACAAAACTAAAAACGTTCCAACCAGAACAATGAAAATTACATTCGCTGATCCACAAAATCGAAATACTTTTATTCATACTGGTTTACAAGTGGATTCAATGCATTTTATAGCTGAAGCAGCAAATCAAAACACCAAACCTGTGCAATGCTATATATGTTTGAAATACAACCATGTGGCAAAATACTGCAAAATGAAGCAACAGATATGTGCTCGATGTGGTGAAAATCATCGCATTGAACAATGTACTGCTGCTAGTGATGTAGTAAAATGCTGTAATTGTAAAGGTAGTCATGTAGCAACATCAAGTGAATGTGCAACTTATAAAGAACAGGAGAAAAGAATTAACAATTTAATTAATGAATATTCAGCTCCAAATACACCAACAAAAACAGCTCCAGCCATTCATGACTTAAACGAATTTCTATCGCTACCAAACCTCTTACAACATCAACAAGAACACATTCATAATAAATTATTCGATGAAATTATCAATGTATTAAGCAGCAAAATGGAAAAGATTATCGAAGAAACAACCAGCCGACTATTCCAGACGCTACTTAAGAAGATGAAAAAGATCGAAAACTTCATCGAAACACACGACAACAACGTTAAAGGTGCCTTGATTATCTCGGATTCTGATTCAGAAGAAGAAAGTCAAGTAGTTAAATACATTAGAAACAAGCAAAAACAAAAGGTAGCAATAACCAAATTAACCACCTCAGCAGCTGATACATCAAGCATACCAACAACAACTTCAAACGTAACTTCAACAAAACCACCACGAAAAGCTAAAGAAGGATCAAAACCAACCAAAAGAATTCGAACACCCAACAGCTCCTTAGATGCATCGACGTTTGATAGCAAAGACCTCAAAACAAGCAACAACGATGATTAGTATATGCCATATTAACATAAACTCCATTATAAAACATAGAAACGAACTCCTAGCCAGATTCTCCAAATACGACATCATATCTGTAAACGAAACTAATCTTAAGAGCGAACGCTCGTTCTCTCTAATGGGTTATAACATTTTTAGAAATGATCAAGTAGGAAAAACTGGTGGGGGAGTGTTATTAGCCGTGAAACAACATATCAAATGTCAAGAAGTACTTAACTCAACAACACAAAAATATGAAGTGATAGCAGTACAGATTGGAACAAAAACATTTAAATCAATACTGGTATCCTCCATTTACGTTCCACCTACAGCCAAAATTGACCTCAACATTATCCATGAACTTTACAACATCAACAACAACGGTATTATTGTAGGAGATTTAAATGCAACATTACATCATATGGGATCAAGAAAAACAAATGCTAGAGGAAGACAGCTGCAAGAATTATTCAAAGAAGGCTTTATTGAATGTGTCAACGATGATAGTACAACATTTGAAAAGAATGATTATGAAGAAAAACTCGACTGGATATTAGCAAGTCAACCACTTCTTTCATTTATATCAAATGTTGAAACTCATCCAACAAGAGGCACACAAAGTGGACATAAGCCGTTAACCTTCGATATTCCAATTGGAGTTGAACCAAAACCACCATCTCCAAGATTATCCCTCAACTTCAAAGCAGCGAATTGGCCAAAATTCAGAAGTAAATTAAATGAACAACTAATGCTATGGAACAATAATCGTCTCATCAATTCAGCATTAGATATACAAGAATATGCATCGTTCATTACCAACAGCATTACTTCAGCAACACAAGAAGCCATACCAACATCGAAACAACTAAATGCAAACATTAAACCAAGTGAAGCAACCAAACATCTGATCCAGCTCAAACATAAAACTTATCGCAAATGGAAGAAGACTGGAGAAGATAGTGAAAAACAACAATATTATAAATACAAGGTGCTATTAACCAATTCACTTAGAAATGACAGGAAAAACAATTTCAACAAACTTATGTTATCACTCTGTCAAAAGAAAATGTATTCAGATGCAGTATGGCTTACGGTTCGCAAGTTCCACAACAAGCGTATCAAGCAAACACACTCCTACAATCTCCGATACAATAACATTATAGCAACATCAGACAAAAAAAAGCCGATTTATTTGCTGAATATTTCCAAAATGAAGTTTATGTCAAACCACCGGATACATTACCATTTCATCAGCAAGTTACACGGCAGGCACAAAACATCATACATGGATCTTCTAACACGAAACTAAACAAATGGAAGAAGATCACGACAAAAGAAGTCAAATGGACTATAAAACAACTACGGAACAGCTCCACGGGTCCTGACAACATACACAATAGATGTTTGAAGAATTATACTGAATCACTTCTTCAACATCTAACTAAATTATATAACATGATATTAAACATTGGCTATATACCAAATGCATGGAAAAAGGCTAATATTATACTCTTATTAAAGACAAATAAAGATAAACAACATCCGTCAAGTTATCGCCCGATTAGTCTTCTTAGTTGCCTCGGCAAACTTTTGGAGAAGATAATCAAGCAACGGCTAATGGTTATACTTGAACGACGTAACATCATGCCAGAACATCAAGCTGGCTTCCGACCTCGAAAAAGTACCTTAAACAACATCATAAGGTTAACAAAATATGCACAACAACATATGCATTCATCTAGTCGTCGTCGACATGCAGCAGTTATATTATTCGATATAAAAGCTGCCTTCGACTCTGTCTGGCACGATGGATTAATATATAAATTAAATGAACTACGTCTACCACAATACTTAACAAATTATCTCATCTCTTTTCTACAGAATAGAACTGCGGCAATTGAAATTGAAAACATCCTATCAAGACCATTTAACCTTAATAGCGGTACTCCACAAGGATCTCCGTTATCACCATTACTTTATATTATTTATACGGCAGATTCGGTGAATGGAATACCAGAACATACAGAACATGGTCTATTTGCCGATGACACTGCTCTATGGACATCATCAAACACAATAACAAGCCTTACTTCTAGGCTACAACAATCCATAGACGAATTTCAAAGTTGGTGCAATTCATGGAAACTTAAACCACAACCCAGTAAAACTGAGCTAGTTCATTTTACTGTACATCCATGTAAAAAGTTTAAGAATCCAATATCCGTCAAAATAGATGATACAATCGTTAAAACATCCAATTCAACAAGATATTTAGGTGTTATCATCGATAAAACGTTGAATTGGAGAGCTCACATCCACCATATCGAAACGAAGATTGCTGGTCGTATTAGTCTGCTTCGATTTTTAAATCGAGCAGCATACGAACCCAACGACAAAATTATGCTGAACATCTTCAAGTCGATTGCAAGAACCATTATCATCTATGGTTATCCAATTCTTCTAACAGCCAACAACAAAATATGGGAAAGATTACAAATTATGCAAAACAAAGCAATTCGTGCTGCATTAGGATTACCCATATACACATCAGTCGAATATATCCATCGAATCACCAACATTCCCAAAATTAAACAATATGCCGTTACACTACTACAACGTTATATTCAAACAGCAACATCAAACAACGACAACGTATTAAGAAACAATTTACAAGAAATATTTAACAATATGTAAAAACAAATCACCTACCTACGTTATATATTATATATAGCATCGTCACTATTGATCATTGTTGAGTCGACCGAATACGTACAAAAATTGTTATATCGGAATCATCGACTTTAACTTTGCATCACATATAAAAATATATCTCATTATCACAACTTCCATCGTATAACCTCTTTTCACGAGACATAAGACATGCGTCATGCGTCTCGGCGTTTCTCTCCAGCCTTCTGTATATTTGTATATATTGTTGCTTCTTTTTGTTAACATCTTAATAAAGGCTTTGATTCCAAAAAATGGAAGGTCGGGAACTGTTGAGCAGTAAGGCTGACCTTGTTCGGGTGAAATGGTCACTCTTATCGAGAAACTAACGTATTTAAAATATGAGCTGCTGATCGCGTACCTAAGCAGAGATATTCAATTTTTAAGTTATGCACAATTTGGTATTGGGTCAAAGGTTAAAGGTTAAAGGTCAAAGGTCAAATAATAGCAATAAAGATCAGCGGCTGATAAATGGCTCAAGTTTCCACTATACAACTCTTCATACAACAATCCAATGAATGAATCCTCCGCTCTCTGAATACCAAAGAGTGAGAAGCTTGAACCATTCATCAGCCACTGATATTTATTGCTATTATTTGACCTTTGACCCAATACCAAATTGTGCATAGTTTAAAAATTGAATATCTCTGTTTAGGTACGCCATCAGCAGCTCATATTTTAAATACATTAGCTTCTCGATAAGAGTGATCCTTTCACCCGAACAAGGTCAACCTTACTGCTCAACAGTTCCCGACCTTCCATTGTTAGATTCGATTTTGCTGATGGATCAAAATTATGACAATAACTCAACATTTGATATTTATTGTTGCTGTAGATTTTTGTTTGTTCATTTGTTTGAAATAGAATAGCAATACGTTATCGATATTTCATTGTCTCATTAATAAAATCATCATTCATATATATTCGAATGGAAAAATTTTCGTTTTGTCAACCAAATAATATAATCTCAAGTTCATTTGAAAGATTTTCCATTCCACTTATTGGAACTATTCCAAAATCGAAACTGATTGTCAATGCTGGATAGTTGTCCATTGACAATGGGAAACCATCACCAACTTTGAACATTGCCAATAGATGTTGATCAATTGTTATCAAACCGATATTAAATGGAACGTCAAAATGATACCCATTTGACAAAATCACGTATGAAAGAACTTTTGTTTTTGATTGATCCATATATTGAACACAGATTCGTATGGAAATATTAATTAATAATGGTTTGTAATCTTTTGGTAAAGGGCATTTAGTCATATCTTCTAGACTGAATATAAAATCTCAAATGCCTGTGTCATGCACATAATTAGAAACGTCCTCGTATGGTAACAGTAGGAAAATAGGTAGTACTAAGGAGGGAACGTTTTCAACTATTAAGTACCTTTTGACTTCGGGCTTTATGCACAAGATAGACTCTGGTGAGTTATGAAAAACCTGAAGAGATTAAATTCTTTTCAGCATTCTGTCCAGAGTTATAGGCATTTTACTGGAAATTTAGCCTAGAGCATGGTATATACGAGCAAATTGAATGGCGGCGTTACGATCTGAGATTTTGCCTACAGACAGGCCTATTGTTGATTAGAATATCCTGAAAATTTCAGCTCAAAAGAACATTTTCTTCCCCGAGATATTAAAGTCCCAAAAATGACTCATACAGAACAAGAAATGCTAGGATTTTCTGTTTTTTTGGGACTTTAATATCTAGGGGAAGAAAATGTTCTTTTAAGCTGAAATTTTCAGGATATTCTAATCATCAATAGGCCTGTCTATGGGCAAAATCTCAGATCGAAACTCCGTAATTCAATTTGTTCGTATATAGCATGCTCCAGGCTAAATTTCCAGTAAAATACCGATAACTCTGGACAGAAGGCCTAAGGGGATTTAATCTCTTGAGGTTTTTCATGCCTCACTAGGGTCTATCTTATGCATAAAGTCTGAAGTCAAAAGGTATTTGACAGTTGAAAACGTTCCGTCGTTAATCTTAAGCGGGTTTTGCGATTGTTACTGTTATCTGCAGAATTGTTTCATCGGGATCTGAAACTTTCAGAATACCGAGATCTAGTTCGGATCCTCAATCCAAAACACATCCCTTATGAACACTGTGTTCGGGTTCAAAGCCAACAGTATAATTGAGAACATGGCCAAACTCAGCGGGAGGGATGCAGGGCGGAGAGAGAGCCTGGATAGATCTCGAAGTCGAGTGTGAAATCTAGATGAAAAGTAGGATCTGATTGAACCCATATTGCGAACTGTCACAGAAATAGACCTTTGACTCGAATGTGAAGCCGAGAAGGGAACTGAAAATGCAACTGGGACTATGAATCGTGCGTATAGCTGAGTGTTCACTGAGATTGGTAACAGAATGACGATTTTCAGTGCGACATAGATGAAAATCACGGGCGTAATACGAACCGTAATCAGGACAAGAGTATATATCGAGACAAGGACGGGAACTGGGAGAAGATGGTGGCTGAGACAGATATTGAAACTCAGACCTGAGTCGATGTTGGAATCTAGAACGATTCTGGACGAGAACTAATATTGATACTGAAGGCAAGACTGCATTAGAGTCTCGATCTTTGACAAGGTACGTGGCCATGGGCACGAAATGCCTCCAATAGTAATGTTAAAAAAACAATATGTTCTCTCACATGTGGAAGGGATGTTCGAAGCTTGGTTCTACCACAATCGACGATATTAAGCTGCATGTATAATAAAGCAAACAAATGTAGAAATTTTGTAATGAAACATTTTATTGAAATAATAGTAAGAAAGCAATTTTTGATCTTTTACGATCATTTTCAACCGAATACAAGAACATTTAAACTGGTGTTACAACACAAAATAAACAAAGAAAATAAAAAGAAAACTGTATATTCTTTGTAATATCATAAGTAATAACATCATAAGCATTAACATCATAACCTATTATTTCATATAAATCAATTGTAATTTAAGATGAGTATAATGAAAATAACACCATGTGTTAATACGACAATGTAATTCATTAGGATCATCGTAAATAACAATGAGATTTATTCCAAATACCTAAATACCTACTTATATAGCTCATGTTTTATGTTCCATTTGATATATAATAATAATAATGTCTGAAAGCAATAGTAGTATACGAGATTTAAATTGAATATCTAATAATTTAATAAATGTAGAAAATGACCGTATAAGATCGAAACTCTCACATAAATAAAGCTTTTCATTCAAAACTTCTATATTTGTTTGATTTATTAGATGTTGAATTAAATCTTATGTACTATTACTTTCATACATAACTAAGCTGCATACTATTGCTTGTGAAGTCGTAATATTTTATCGATTCTGTACAATGATGAAAAAAAACGAAATGAAGACATGGTATATTGCACAGTTTTACCAACTTTCAATTCCCTCTCTCTCTTGTCGTTCTTCAAGCTGTTCGATCGATGAGTAATAGAACAAGCAAAACAGAGGTAATATTTTCATGAGAAAAAAAAACCAGATATTTCAATAATATATGATCATAAGCAATTTAACGTAAACGGATGAATGCGCACAAGCCAAACTTATTTATTGATGTATGTATAAGCAACGTGTTGATTTTATCTCTTGCATAGAATAACGTCGATTCATTACAATATTATTCTTATCGTCATCACACAAGCGTCCGAACAAATACAGCCAGTAAGCGTAAGTTTTTTGAAATTTTGTTCTCTTCAGATGACCTTCTTCATTATTAGTATCCAGCAAATTTTTATATCCTTAAGTAGTACTATTAAGATTCAATAGTATAATTTTTCTGCTGACAAAAATGTTTCGAAGTTCTGTATGAAATGAATAGCAGATATTCGTTACTGAAAAGCTACTTTTCTCACGAAACGTTTGTAGCAAGAATTGTGAATACGTTTTGTAAGTTCTACTGTAGAAAAAAATTCGTCGGCACCGTATTCTTTTACCATTTGAAAAACTATCATACATGTCAAACCTGAAAATTGAATTCAATTATTGAAAATTTACTTCAACTATTCAATTATTTAATTATTGAATACTTGAAGTTCAACTATTCAATTATTCAATCATTGAATAGTTGAAGTTCAACTATTCAACTATTCATTTTTGAGAAGCGTATTATGGGGAGGGGGAGGGGGGAGAGACGACTTCCACATGTTTACACGCACACATCACGCGACCAGATGTGGGTGCGGAGAAGAGAGTTCGGGGTATAGACGACTTACATATCTTTACACGCACACGTCACGCTACAATAGTTGAATAATTGAATATTTGAACTTCAACTGCGGAAAAAATAAATAATTGAATAGTTGAACTTCAACTATCCAAAAAATGAATAATTGAACAATTGAATAGTTGAATAATTGAAGTAAATTTTCAATAATTGAATTCAACTTTCAGCTTTGACACTACTGAAAAGAAGACAAAAACAGCTTCTATATATGGACTACATAAGCATACTTTAGTATTGAGAATAAATGTTTATGAAATTTGTTTTGTTTAGAGGTGATTCGTATATCTTACAAAAACACCTAATACACGACAACTAGGTGATAGCAACGCAAATCGCTTGTTTGGTTACAATCACGCACAAACATATAAGTGAACAATGCAGTCCCGATCAAATGAGGTATCCAATGCTCAGTGCTCAGTGAAAATTTATTTTTGCATAGAAAATTAGAAATGAAGAATTTAGGACACTGATTTTCTTGAAACAGTCACTTACTAACGACCAAGTAGTGTTGTTTGAATAGTAGCAACTGTGGTTTATGGAGAAATGGACGTCGAATGCGCGAGTCCTGAGATTTGTTGCTTCTATTTGAGTTATTTAAGTGTTGACATTGCAGTTCGTATAATAAATGCTCAGATATTTGCTGAAAACAGTCGTTAGAATATAAATAATCAAGTTTTTATCTCAACAAGTGTTTTAGCTAGCACTCTTGTAC